AACTTTAGCGACACAAGTCCTTTCTTAAATAAAACTGGTTTATTCTTTCTGAATATAACTTTACGATACACTTAATTTCAACATTCGCGCTAAAACAAACGCTATAACAACGAACGCTAACTTCAACAATACTCTCTGACTGCAGATCAATTACTCACTACCTACACACATTGTCCCGTCACGTTGTGACCATCTTATATATATACCAGACTACCCCCAATCTAGTAAATGCTAGGGCATTCACGAAGGTTCGAGAAGGAAATGGCGTTATACTAGTCACGTGACCTTGCTGACGCAACAAAAGATTTCGCATATGAAATTTGAAAATTTTCTGATGCATAAAAATATTTTTAATCTTAAAATAAAATACTTTGCATGTTGGATAGGTAACAAGTGAAAAGAAAAAAAGGTATGAGAAATTTTGCTTAACAAACCTTGAGAATTAATATTTTGGAATAACTATAGTACGAAAATGGGAATTTTCTGTCGTATTTCGAATACAACTCTAGAAAGACGGTGCACATTCTATTTTCCATGCCTTTAATTGAAAAATACAATTTTCAAAATTATTTTTTTCATAACTTGCCGATTGGAGGTAGAGAGTGTTCAAGTGAGTTAATAACTTTTTGAGTGAAGAATTAAGCTAAGTGAGGATTTCAAACTTGTTTTTCTTATTGTTTCGCAGCAATAACAAGGTTGTTTTAAATTTGTGAACCGAGTTATTCTTATGGGCGAATCAGAAAGTTCTTGCAAATGGAATCGCCCTTGATCTTCACTGTCCTGTTGGCCAGCTCAGAGATCTAAACAATACAGTAAGGTGGATCAACAGCTTGATCACTCGAATTCTAAGCTTTAGTGTTTCAGAGCTGCAAAGAAGCGTGTACAGAACGCTTACGATAAGCTGCTAATAATTGGTTTGTAATTTGAAATTCTTAGTTCTATGCTTCTTATCGCAAAATGGCTGGTAGTAACTGTACAGTTGTCAGATAGCCTGCATGTAAATCTAGGAAGAAAGAGCTCTATTTCAATTCTTTGAAAGTAATATGGCGGGTTGCGTTAATCCACGTTATGTTTTTAGTAACATTAGTTCATGCTGTGAACAGATTTAGTGTATGGTTTACTCCATCAATAAAGGTTTAAAGTTATTTTTTGAAGATTCATTAGTGAAATCCAAATAAACTCTCGAATTAACACAGAGTACTTTACAGATAAAAGTAACGTGATATTTAATATAACTTCGGGAACATCTTTATTCCGTGTTTTATTTTAATCTTTTATTAGTTTAACTTACGCAGAGCACCTACACACTTTAGTAAGATTTTGTATATTCTATTAAGTCTTCTTCGGCTCTTGCCATCCACACATAATCACTTGCTCTATAGTTCATCCTTTAGTGGATTGTGTTATAGTGCGTTGCTTGTTTGTGTTGTTTGATTGAGAAAATGAGAATAAACATTTGTTTGTTGTATAAATCCGTGTCTAGTCACTTTGCTTATAGCATAGCTGTAGCACATAGTAAAGAAACCTACACCTAAGTCTGAAAACCTCCGGTTGTTAGAGTGCCTAACTTTTCTGATAATCCTCTTGATATCACAGCATCAATAATACTAGTAAAGTGAAGTTCTACCGTTGCAAGGAATAGTTCTAATATATATTTGTTCAATCCTCATGATCTTAGTTTACGTTTCCAGACATTACCATTAGGTATACTTGTAAATAAAAAGAAGCTCAAGGCTGTTGGAAATTCTGATAAAAGGGAAGATGTTTTTTTTTCTTTTATGGGAGGTGTGGATCATATCAGAAAACCCCGATATAAATATTATGTTACGTGTGAACACAGAAAAGCTTTGTTGTAAATATCTTTAAATTTCTTACTTTCTATAAACTAGATTCTGTATTCTTACTTAACAAAATAATACCGATAATCAAAACAACTTGCTGCAGGACACTGTGTATTATTAAGAGGAGTGCTAGTTTAGCGATTTTCCACCCTCTGTATCTTGGACTGTAGTAAGCCAAGCTATCACATATTTTCAATAGATGTGCTAAACTGGATTCTTACTTCACATACTAAACTTCTGGGCAATCCATTAAGAAATACCTAAGATATAACATCTCCAAAAGTACGAAAAATGTATTTGATACAAAAACATACTTAACATTTATGGATTTTTCTTTTCAAGTTTGGTACACCGATAGAGCTTTTCAACCCACAATTATGAGTATCTTTTACTGTAAATATAAGCCACATATGCAAAGTTATTCAACAAAAACCGCTCAAATTTGACGGAATTTTTGGAGCACACCTAAGCAAAAAGGTCGCGTGTACTGTCGGTCTAACATTTTTACTACAGGTTCACCTTAGAGTAAAAGTGGATCGTTTTTAGTTTTTGTCCTTCGGAGTAATAACGGCTGATTTAAAGCAGCAAAACTATAAAGTGAAAGGACGTGCAGATACATAAGTATTGGTTAGGCCAAGCAAAATAGATTAGTAGTTTATAGCTCAAATTTTCAATAGAATCATACGGGTGGACTGTTATTACTGATCATTCATTGCCAACTTTTAAGCACAAATTTACTAAATTTTATGAAATTATCCTAATTAAAGGATATCACTTAAGCAATTAGCATCAATAATGATGCTTGATACGGCTCTACCGATTGCATGGAGGTGATGACAAGAAACTGTTAATCTAAATTTCATGGCGTTAATATATAGGAAGCTATTAACACTCTTTTAGAGAGGAAAACTACAACCATATATTTTAATGAATCTGGTTCGTTCTGTAAAGGTCTGTTCCGAAAAATATGGTTTCGATTTTAAAGCTAATGTGAGTTATTATCAAGTGTCACTTTCTTATTTGATGTAGTTTTTGGTGTGCATTGACAAAAAGTCATGATATCTGATCAAAACTAATTCAGGTGTGAAAAACCGATGCGGCCAAAAAAGAATTCAGTGTGCTACTTGAAGGAATGAAATAAAAATTGGCGGCCAAACTGGCTACACTTATAACATTGATAACAATTTTACAGCAAATATTCATTCATTAGTTAGCCAGGCCGTGTAATAAATTACATTTATTAGTTGTTAGAAGTGCTAGATACATTATGTTTAAGGCAAACTTGAAAATTTGCTATATATGAAATCAACAAGAACTTTTCAATCGTTTGTATTTCACACATAGATCAATATTTTTCTATAACTGATCACATTTTCAAGTACATTTATTGTTCGTACACACACAAAATAGTTGAAGCCAAACGACTACAACATGAAGAGAGAAAAATTGTTTGTGCAAACGTTAAATGTGCTAGATGTCCCTCATTTTTAACTGATGTACTAAATGGAAGGTAGCGAGGTAACAGCAACCGTCATCTCTTAGGCTACACTAATAGAAACGTGAGGCTTGGCAGTCACTCTTATAACGCATCCATGGGCCCCTAAGTACGAGATGTAATTTTACGGTATCGAACCAAGGATTTATAGTCAGCCTGTCTAACAAATTGGTCATGCCTGGTCCGATCACAAAGAAAATCTCTAGTTAAAATGATACAAAATTATCCAATTATCCTTTGTGTATTATAAACATAAGCAAGGTTCAATACAGTTATTTCTTCAGAACTGAATTTTTGTCCTCAGTGCATCAAATTTTTTATTGTTATATCAATGTTTTCGTTGGCAAAAATACAAAAGAATTCATACTATTAAAATACAAACAAGAAATTAGCATCGTCAAACATATTTAATCAACTTTAAATTACGATAATGATATATTCCAAAACACAAGTTAATATATATATCAAGACAAGCACAGTTCAATAGCTAATTCGTTGAATACACACAACCGGGTTTCCTACAAAAAATTCCGCTTGAATAATATTCTTGAATTCATCTCAAAAATAATACTAATAACACAAAAAATACTAGAATCAAATTGATATACCTTTAACATAACGATTGTTTTTTTTTCACCAATAAAATGTAAAAAAAAAGATTTTGCGGAGGATTTGCATTATACTAATACTTTATACGAAAATCACACACAGTTTGGATAAATTATTGCGTAACCCACCATCAATGTATCTCGCTGCACGCAGCAATCTAATATCGGTAATGAAAACAGCTAGATAAGGCTGACACCTTTTAAATTGTTTTTGTTTGTAATTAAGCACAAAGCTACGCAATGGGCTATCTGTGCTCTGCCCACCACGGGTATCCAAACCCGGATTCTAGCGTTGTAAGTCCGCAGACATACCGTTTTGCTACTGAAAGGCGCCACCTTTTAAATAACAGAAAATAATATTTGGAATGATAAGGACGCTACGCACTCCGAGAATACTTTCATTAAAGAAGAAATATGCTACAAATATTACGGAAAAAATATTCATTTACCGGTAGCTGGAGGACAGAATGTTTGTTCTGACGTATTGCTTTACTTTGTCCGCCAGTTGTAGCTTATAGTTTATATAAATCGTGGAATAAAAAATCGATCTTGGTAGAATATAGAATTCGTTTAATTATTGTATGATTCGTTATAATGGGAAAATAATATTTAGTATTTTAATAAAATAAAACATTTTAACCGTTACGATGTCAGAAGACAATTGTCAAAATTTTAAGGCTGTCTGCTGAAGTGAAACACGGGTGGCTACCCTTTAGTGAGGACTGATAAAAAATTAACCAAAAAAAAATGTAACTCAAGTATGAAACTTGAAGATTCTGTGAATACATAAAATAAGCAGTCAGGTGTAAATCGCAAAATGCTTATACTATAGGAAAAGGCTGAAGACAAACCTAGGCTTAGAAAGATTACATCTGTTGTGTTATCGCAAGTAGCATAAAGACAGATATTATTCGTAAGTCTGGTTTGTTTGTTTTGAATTTCGCGCAAAGCTACACGAGGGCTATCTGCGCTAGCCGTCCCTAATTTAACAGT